CGAAGGTAACCAAGCATTTTGTTCACTGAATTGATAATGTGGATTATATGATCCGTCCAAGATAAGTCTTGAGACAAGTGAAGTCCTAGGTACTTGAAGGAATGCACATTAGCTATAATGCTGTTATTAATCTTATACACGGAGGGTGCATAGTTGGGTCGACGATGGAATTAAATGTTCACGGTCTTACTGGTGTTCAGTGACATGAGCCATGTGGTACACCAGTCTTGAATACGAAGTAGGTCTTCCTGAAGAGTACAAACGTCGGAGGAGTTATTGATAGGGCGGTACACGACGCAATCATCTGCAAAAAGACGTATTTCAGAGGTTACAGTAGGTGGCAAGTCGTTGATGTAGATTAGGAAGAGGAGCTGCCCTGGAACAGTGCCTTGAGGCACGCCAGCCATAACGGGTGAAGTGGATGATGTGTAGTTGTTAGCGTATACGAACTGTTTCCGGTTGGTTAAGAAACACTCAATCCAATTGCGAACAAGCAGATGAATGTTTAGGTGCGACAATTTCAACAAAAGACGAGAATGATGAGCCTTATCGAAGGCCTTTTCAAAATCTAGAAATAGAGCATCGGTTAGAATGTTACTGTCTAAGTTTAAATGAATGTCATGAGTGAATAGAGCAAGTTGATATTCGCATAAGTGACTTTTCCTAAAACCGTGTTGATTAAGATGAAAGAAGTTCACCGAGCTTAGGAAATGAGCAACTTGAGAGTAGATGACGTGTTCCATGATCTTGGAGCATATGCTGGTGAGGGAAATGGGACGGTAGTTTCCAGGGGAAGACCGGTCACCTTTTTTGAAGACTGGAATGACCTTTCCTGTCCTCCAATCATCTGGCACTGTACCTGTGTCAAGTCAGTGCCGAAAGATAATACAAAGATTCGCACTGCAGGCATATTTTGTACTTTTTGTACTTTCGCGTTGATTCCGTCAATACCGCAGGATGAAGAGCACTTCAGGGAGTCAATGACCTTGACAATGCCCTCTGCTCTGAATTCAATACCCTCCATTGGAGGAAAATTGAAATATGGAAAGTGTGGTAATGCATCTGTACTTTCCTTTGTGGACACTGAACAAAACGCTAGATTCAGTGCGTCGCGAACTTCGGAATCAGCAATGGGCGTCCCCGTGTTATCACATAGTGAAATGGCTCTTTTATTATCAGGCTTAATCGCTTTCCAAAAACGCCGTGGGTTAGACTGCAGCATATTTGGTATGGTAGTGGAATAGTAGTCACGCTTGGCGCGTGCTTTTAATGAGTGGTACTCTTTAACGACCTCATTATGCTTTTGCCAGGCCGAGGATGAACTAGTTCGTTTAGCAACCAGAAATAATCGTTTTTTTTTATTATGAAGGCCTTTTAAAGACTTGTTAAACCAGAGGGAACGCGCTTTTTCATTTATAGTGATAGTTGGGATGTAAAGATTCTTTAAACGCAGCATTTCGGCTTTGAATAGTATCCAAATGCTCTCAGTTGAATGCTGCCGATATTCAAGGGCAAGTTTTACGTGAAAAACACAAAGTTCACGGTTGATGCTGGAATAATCGGCTTTGTCGAATTGCGTGAGTACTTTTTTAGATTTCTTGCTTTTTAAGATATTGCAAGGAAATGTTGCATGAATGACGTTGGGGTGACTAAAACCACAGATATACGTAAGGGGGGGGGGGGCACATTATCGGGGTGTGACGTGAAAAGGAGGTCCAAGACTGTTGACGAGTGTTGGGTTATTCGGGTAGGTTTATTGACCAGCTGTGAGAGGCCAAAAAGCAAACATAAGTTTACAAATTCTGTAGCCGTGTTATTTTGTGCAAGACATGACGCAACATTATTCCAATCTATTGAAGGAAAATTGAAATCATCGAATAATAAGACGGGAGTGTTGGGATACGTCGTTGTTAGTTCTAACAATGCTTCGTGAAAACACCAAAGAAAGGAGCTATCGGCGCTTGGTGGACGGTAGCAACAGCCGATTAACATGCGCAGTGAAGTGGCGCGGCAGCACGCCCAAACCATTTCCAGAGAAGTTTGTACATTTTCAGCAGAGCACTTAAGCAAACGATGTGTGGCAAGCGCCACACCGCCCCCACGGTTATCATCAAAGCGGTCCTTGCGAAAGATGTCAAAATTTGGTAGATCAGGAAGAATCTCGGAATCAAGTATGTTAGAGGTTAGCCACGTTTCCGTAAACAGAATGACATTGGTAGAAGAAGAAGAAATCAAGGTGCACAACGGATCACGTTTTGGCATCAAGCTGCAAATGTTAGTGTGAAGCAGCGGGAGATCATTCTCAACACTGATTTGGCCTTTGTGGCTTTTGCGCTCGTTGCTAGGCCTGAAGTTCGACAACCAACTGCTTAGCCTGATCAAAAACGCATGTTTTACTGCCACAGATGAGCTTGTCATAACGGAGCTTAAACGGGGAGTGCTGCGCTTTTCCAAATTCGATAAGGCGTCTTCTGGCTACACGAATTTCCGGGGCAAAGTCTTCACTGATGCCGTAATCTGTGCCTTTCAGTTTACTGCTAGACGAAAGGAGTGCTTCTTTATCCTTGAAGTGGGCAAATTTTACTATTATCGGTCGCCGTTTCCCCTCGCGATAAGCTCCGAGTCTATGGGCACGGTCTATGTCACGACTTTGAATAGTCATGCCCAGGCTTTTGTGACCGAGATCAATAACCAGTTCTTCACTAACACGCCACGCCTCGTTTCGCACATCACTGAACCCGTAAAAGATCAGGTTGCACCTTCTGGATGTGCTTTCCAAGTGGCTAATCCGGTCAGACAGCCTAGTTACCCGAGCAGCGCTGTTAGTGGCAACACTTTCAATGATTCCAATTTGAGACTGAACATTTGAAAGTGATAGTAAGTCAGATTCTATTTTGGTCAAACGCGAGCTCAGGTCATTGAACGTTTTTTTTTCATGTTCAGCAAGGGTTGATCTGATTGAACCTAACTTCTCAAGCATGGCCGACTGCCCAGATTGCAACGTCTTCAGTATATCAAGCATAACAGTAGGTACCACACAGTGTTCATTCCTAGGTCCAGGATTAGTCTCAATATCACATGCTAATAACAATTTCAACAACATTTTGGCACAATCGAGAACTACAGAGATGGAGCGCCGTGAGCTCGGCAGAACAAGTAATGATCGGTATCCAGTTCGCTTAGCGTAAAGACAGTGGTAATTCGTTACCTGCGTAGCGAAGAAGTCAAGCGGGTTAGGATGACCCATCGCCGGTGTGCCGCCGAGCCCACTAGGCGCGTTGAGCGTCTGCCCGGGGTTTATATTGGTGCTCCATGGAGCGGTGGCGCTGTCATAAGATAGCGTGCCCGAAATCCAAGATGCCAGCTGATGACCACGAGGCCACCGTAGTGATGGCGTTGGCGGTGATGCGCATTCAGGTGCACAGTAGAGGCCGGGCTGGCGCACCCCGTCCCGGCGAGGTGACGCGTTCACAGGCAGGTGACCAGACATATGAAAAGAAGGAAAAGAACCAGCACTTATCGCTGGAAAATGGAAACAAAGAAAACAAAGAGAAGTCATTTTTGTTCTAGCTACAGAGGCCAGCAAAGTCAATGTGTCGCGTTTTGCTCAGTGTCTCATTTTACCCCATGCACCCGCCCCTATAAAGTCTGAAGCTGCCGCCACGTCTCTCTCGATTGAGCGATTGGTATGAGGCCGTCATCCTGCTGTGGACATGTAATAGGCTGATAGCGATGCTAAATTTGAAAATAACTCGTCTTCTATAGAAAGAAACATATGCTGTGGGTTAAAATGAGACTACAATTCTATAAACATTAGCAATCGATTCTTTCTGACTAGCCTATAGGAAGTCATTCACAAGTGACCCCCTTTTTATGTTATCGCCATCATCGTTTTAATCATCGCACTTTACATCAGTAACTTAACAGACAGCAGGCATTAACCCTACGCCTATTACAGACACACACGTACCCAAACCTTGCCACGCTTCACGTTTATTATCCCGATGCATACCCCAGCGACACATGCCTGTAGAGGTCGCCACCCTTCAGTCATTTAGTTAGGCTGCCACTAGCAGGTGGCGCCCCTGAGATTGTATATATGTGGAGAATGTGGAGATATCCACCCAGGTGTACGTTTGGGCACGAGCCTACAGGAAGCCTTGGGTTTTAGGGACAACAATGGAAAGCTGAACACACCCGCGATTGAAATAAGTAAGAGACGGTTAGAGTATTGGTGGCAGAAAATTAGAGAGAAAGGACAAAAATAAATATTGGAAAAATAAAATATGGACAGTGTGCCGTAAATGGCAGAGAACTTAAGCTGAAAATTTACCTTTTTTCCATTAAGATAGAATTTATCGAAGTAGAGGCATTAGGCCAACATAAAAAAAAAGAAAAAAGATTTTTTTTTTCGTCGAGCCTGGTGGCATACTTGTCACCACCCCGTTATAAAGGGGACGCTCATAGCATCCATCCATCCATCCATATTCTGCCCCGAATAAAGTGGGAGGGCCCTTTTTCGTTAGCTGAGCAGCTGTCGTGCGTATCGTCTCTCTCCGCTCGTGGATTCGCTCGCAGGATTTCAAGCTGGACGGTTGTGCCCTCGCGATCTCCGACTTCAGCGTAGCTCCCGCCGACTGGTTCGCCCTCCGCGGTCTCCTGAAGCCGTGCAGCTCTCGCATTGTGGCACCCCGCCCTTGGACTGCTTCGACCGGATCCCCACTTTCCTATCTCCTTCTTTTTTCTCTCGTTGGCTGTCTTCTTCTCCGTCTATTTTCCTTCTATTCTTTTTATCCCTCCTTCCCCCCTCCCCTATAAGGCACTGCGCCGTGTCGCCTGAAGGCAGACAGAAATTAGGTGCCTTTTTCCTCTTTATTCTAACCACTACTACCACCACCGCTCGTGCTCCGCCACGCTGGCGCGGCACCAGCCACAAGACATGGTGTCAGAAGTGGCTGCGTAACGCCCCCTCATCGCGAACTCGCCCGTACCGCACGACGATGGCGCCGAAAAAGCTCAGCCTCAACCTCCAGCCGCCCGCACCGTTCGACTTTGTGCACCCGGGAACCTGGCCAGCATGGCTCAGCCGCTACGAGGACTACGCCGTCGTTTCCGGCCTGGCTCAAGCATCCGGCGACATGCAGGTACGCTCGTTGTTGTACTGCATGGGGCCGGAGGCCCGCCCACTTCTGGAGACGTTCTCGCTCGACACCGCATCACTCGCCTCATTTCAAGCGGTTGCCGCCAGTTTCACCGACCACTTCGTGCATCCGGCGAATGAACTGTACGAGTCGTCGCGTTTTCACCGGCGTGTTCAGTTACCCGACGAGAGCGTCGACGCCTACTACGCCGAACTGTGTAGAATGGTGAAGCGGTGCAACTATCCGTCAGCTGAGGTGGAGCAAAGGCTTGTACGCGATAGATTCGTCATCGGCCTCCACGACTCGCGCCTTTCGGACCAGCTTTGCCGGAACGCGAAGTTGACGCTCAAAGAAGCATGGATGCAGGCCCGTCAATCAGAAGACGCCGACAAAGAAAAAACGTTGCCTCAAAACTGCGCAGAGCACTCCCGCGAGCTACACCTCGACGCCGTACGAGATAAGAAGTTCGCCTCTCGCCGCCGCAACTACGATAAGCGGCCTTCGCCCCCGCGGAAAGTAGAGCGCTCCTGCCAGCCGTCAACATGTGAATTCTGCGGCCGCGCGCCACATCCACGTTCTAGCTGCCCTGCTCGAAACTCCGTCTGCAACTCCTGCAAAAGGAAAGGACACTTTGCGGAAGTGTGCCGCGCACGGCAGGCAAAACAGAAGCTCGGCTCCATTCAGCTACACGCTGTCGGTACGCTCGCCGCGGCAAAGTTCGTCGACATCACCGTTGACGATTACACAGCGCAGTTCAAGGTCGATTCCGGAGCCGAGGTGTCCGCCGTTCCGAGCGACTTCCCTGCATTGCCGGCCAAGCTCGACCCCGACAACAGCCTGCTCACCGGACCTGGCGGTCAGCCGCTGCGCGTGCTGGGTTCGTACATGGCGAGACTTTGGTGGCACGGGAAAATGAGCTCTCGGCGCTTGTACGTGATCCAGTCTCTCACCGTACCTCTTCTTGGACTGCCGGCGCTTCAAGCTCTGAAAGTTGTAAAGTTTCTCGACGAACTTCAGACTCCGAAAGCAACATTGCGTGCTGAGCTCTTCCAGGGATTGGGCACCCTCAAGGACGAGTACACTATCCTTCTGAGACCTGACACCGTACCCTTCTCCCTAAGTGTGCCTCGCAGGATTCCCATCCCGCTACGCGAGGTCGTCCGTCACGAGCTTGACAAACTGGAGGAAGGAGGCGTGATCCGCAGGGTCGACAACCCAACCCCGTGGTGCTTTGGTGGTCTCGTTGTAGTACGGAAAGCCGATGGTTCCTACCGACTGTGCGTTGACTTGACTCAGCTGAACAAGGTTGTCCTTCGGGAACGCCACATCCTACCAACTGTAGAGCAAGTCCTTGGCCTCCTTCGCGACGCAACAGTTTTCTCCAAGCTGGATGCAACAGCCAGTTTTAATCAGGTTAAACTATCTGCAGACTCCCAAGAGCTCACAACGTTCATCACCCCATTTGGCCGATACTGCTTCTGCCGGCTCCCCTTTGGCATCACCTCCGCGCCGGAGTACTTCCAAAAACAGATGGCCAGGATCCTGGAGGGCCAGGAAGGAGTCGCCAATATGATAGACGACATTCTGGTCTTTGGGCGCACCCGCGAGGAGCACGATGGCAGACTGAGCCAGGTGCTGTCTCGCCTTGCAAAAGCAGGCCTCAGGTTGAACCAAGACAAGTGTCGTTTTGGTGTCTCCGAAGTCTCCTTCCTAGGAGTCATCGTTTCAGCACAAGGCATCAGGCCAAGTCCAGACAAGGTCGAAGCAATCAAAACCATGGAGGCTCCAACAGACATCGCAGGTGTCCGGCGACTGCTCGGAATGGTGAACCATCTTGCCCGGTTTTTGCCTAGCATCTCGGAGGTCACAGCTCCCATCAGAGCACTTCTAAACAAGTCTGCGACTTGGGTGTGGCAGCATGAACAAAATGCTGCATTCGAGAAAATCAAGGAACTCCTGACATCAGACCGTTGCATGGCCAAGTACCATCCATCATACGCCACCACAGTTTCGGCTGACGCAAGCTCATTCGGACTGGGCGCAGTCTTGCTGCAGACACAGCCCTCTGGAGAGCGCCGCCCAGTTGAGTTTGCTTCGAGATCAATGACCGAGACAGAGCAGCGTTACAGCCAGACGGAAAAGGAAGCGTTGGCAACAACATGGGCTATCCAACGGTTTGACGAATGCGTCCGCGGCATCACCTTTGATGTTGAGACAGATCACCTACCACTCGTTTCTCTCTTCGGCAAGATGGAGCTGGACATGCTGCCGCCTCGCATACAGAGGCTCAGGTTAAAGACCATGCGATACCAGTTCCGAATGCTCCACGTGCCAGGAAAGCTGTTAGCTACGGCAGGTACCTTGTCACGCATCACTCGGAAGGCGTCCCTCCCCCTGGACACCGTGGAATTGGTTTGCAGCTCAAGTGGTCAGCGGCATGTCAGAAGCCTTGCCACTAAGCCCAGAGGACGTGCGACAAGCACAAGAGTCCGATGGCGAATGCAGAGCCCTCACCTCCTTCTGCCAGAATGGTTGGCCACAGAAGTCCAAACTGCCACTGCACCTCTCCCAGTATGCCTCAGCAGCTAGCTCTCTGTCTGCGATGGTGTTCTACTGAAAGGTGCCAGGATGGTCATCCCGCATTCTCTTCGGCCGGCTGTTTTGACGCTGTTGCACGAAGGACACCAAGGCATCAACAGGACGAAAGCTCTCGCTCGAAAGTCCATTTGGTGGCCAGGCATTTCGGCAGACATTACCTCTCTGGTAACTAACTGCGAGCAATGTGCTTCCACTCGGGTGAACCTTGCAGAACCCCTGGTCTCCACGGTCCTACCTGGACGTCTCTGGGAACTTGTCGGCGTGGACCTGTTCCACCTCCGCAGCCAGACATTCATCTTGGTGGTGGACCACCACTCCAGGTACCCTGAAGTTGTAACCTTGCGGAGCACAACGGCTCAGGCAGTCGTCGATGTTTTCAAAAGCATCTTTGCCCGGCATGGGATTCCGCGAGAAGTCAGATCAGACATTGGTCCACCGTTCTCTTCACGCGAGTTTGCAGTATTGGCGGCATCTTACGGCTTTGACCACGTCACCAGCAGCCCGCACTATGCGCAATCGAACGTAGAGGCGGAGAGAATGGTCAGGACAATCAAGGAGTTGTTTCGCAAAGCAATAGACCCTCATCTGGCCTTGCTCAGTTACCGGGACACCCCCGGAGTCGATGGCTTCAGCCCGGCCCAGCTCTTGATGGGACGACAACTCTGAACCAAAGTGCCGAAACAGGACTCCCAGTTATGTCCTCACTGGCCGTCGAGGAAAGACGTGAGGAGAAAAGATGCAGCCTAAGGCAGAAACAGGCCGCTGACTTTAACAGGCATCACAGAGCTCAAGATCTGTCATCGCTCCGAACAGGCCAGTGTGTCTGGGTACGACCTCATCAGGTCAAAGCTACAGTGCTTAGCCCAGCACGCCGAACACGAAGTTATGTCGTGGAAACGGAGCAGGGTGGCGTCCTACAGCGCAACCGGCGTCACCTAGTGCCTTTTGCACCTCCTGCGCCAAGGGTGGAACTACCGCCGGCTGAGGAGCAGGAGCCACAGCGAACACTGCCTCCTCTGGAACCCCAGCGAACTACTACAGTGCAACCACCCGATTCCCTTGGACTGCCCCCTGCAGACAGTGACCGCAGTGATGGTGTGACACGAACACGTAGTGGCCGCCGTGTTGTGCCTCCGAACCGCCTGAACTTGTGATGTGCAGTGTCTGGCGTCCTCCGTCTTCCGTCTAGTCTTCAAGGGGGGAGATGTAGAGGTCACCACCCTTCAGTCATTTAGTTCGGCTGCCACTAGCAGGTGGCGCCCCTGAGATTGTATATATTCTGCCCCGAATAAAGTGGGAGGACCCTTTTTCGTTAGCTGAGCAGCTGTCGTGCGTATCGTCTCTCTCCGCTCGTGCTCCGCCACGCTGGCGCGGCACCAGCCACAAGACAATGCCCATTATGTGGACACACAGCTACACTCGGACACATGCTCTGGGAGTATAGAACAACTCCTCCCGACTCTACATCAAGCAAGTGGAAGAGGTCCCTCAGGAGCTCACTTCTCGCCGACCAGCAACGGGCCGTCCAGCAGGCCCACGAAGCGGCCGCCAGGTACTCCCTGTCGGTCCCTACGTGGGAGACGCCCGCTACGCGCTAAGCGCGTCCTGCAGGACTGAAATAAAGTTTTTTTCATTCATTCATTCATTCATTCATCGTCAACATCTTCCAGTTATTACATCAATGATAATTTATGACGCTGTCGCTGTCTCTAAATAAATAAGTAGTTGGAAATTTTATTGAAAGGCTTTCAAATTCTATTGAACATCCCAAACATTTTTTTTCATCGGGGCTGCCCTGCACTGCCTCTGTGTCCTAATGTCCACATAGATAAGCGCTCTCTTTTTGGCTACTCCCCCATAGAGGGTGAGGGCCATTCATAAGGAGAAAGCAAGCGAACAAACTTTTTGTTATAATTAACCCAGTAACCTCCTGTAGCACATCAAAACACACAAAAAAAATGTCAGACTATATGATCCATCCGACTCCTGGCCGATCCCCCCGAACTGGGTCACTGCCAATCATCCCAAAAGAATCATCATCAGCATTATCGCTTGGCTGCTTCCGGAGGATCCACCCGTCAAACAAGCCACATCATCGCAGTGTTCAAGCCCGTAGCGCCGCCGTGTCGACACTTCGACGAAGGATACGACGAGAGGACCCGGAAATGACGGTGCGGGAATACACGCTCACCGGCTTCAGCGATTTCCTCGAGCGGCGACGCGTCGGCTTCGTCGAGCAGTTGCCGCCGAATCGCGTCTGCGCCGTATGCGGCATGGTGCCGAGCCGGTCTCTGATATTGCCCTGCGGTCACACGCTGTGCAGGCTGTGCAGAAGTCAGATCACCGAGCAAGACGGGTGCCCCTTGGATGGAAGGCGGTTCGCCGACGCCGACCTACTTCCGGTGGTCTTCAGTGAGGCCGACCTAGAGCAGCATCGAGTCCTCTGCATCGCCGGAGGTCAGAAATGCGGATTTTCCGGCAAGCTCCGAGATATGAGGCGTCACCTTGCCGAGTGCGTCGGAGGCGGAGTACTGTGCGGAAAGTGCCGCCGATCCGTGCATCGAAGCGGTGCGGTGGCTCACTACAAACGGTGTCGCCGCGAATTTTACGCTTCGCCGCAAACTACGAACGACGCTCCTGGATCGACAACGATGGCCGACGATCTCAGGCGTGTCAAGAACGAGCTCGAAACGCTTCGGAACCAGGTTTCGAGCGAGTCGGCGAGCCGCGAAACCGTCGCCAACCGCGTCAACACTTCGCTCGACCGGATCTCGTGCATCCAAAGCAACGTGTCCCGCGAAGTCGACGTCAAGGACGGAGCTTGCGGTGGCGACTGGGAAGGCGCATCTGCGGGATCCACAACTAAGCCAACGGTCGCTCCAGGACCCTATCGTGCCGCTGCCAAGCCCGGTGTCTACATCGAAACGTGCAGGTTCGTCGACGTGTACAGTGCGTACAACGCGATGAAGCAGGGCGATGTCAAGCGCAGCATGCTGACCGGCACTTACACTCTGGCCGGTTACACGTTCAAGCTCGCCTGCGAACTGTTTAAGAACGAGAAGAAAGAAGTGTACACGCGCTTCGCTTTCATCCTGCGACACGGCGACTGGGACGATCACGTGGACTGGCCTTTCCGCAAAAAGGTCACCCTGACCATTGCGCACCCCAGGTACGAAGACAAGGACATCGGCATGCCGATAAGCGTGGATGACAACGCCGCCGCAAAGAAGCCGGTTCCCGCCATTCCGAATTCGAGTTCCTGGACGGGGGAACTGTACTGGAAGGACATTGAGGAGCACGGCTACATTGGCAACAAGGCGCTCTATGTTAACGTCCAGTTTGAGTGACCCACCCGCGAGGCGTGTTTCGCCGCTGTCGTACCACATAAATGCTCTTTTAAAGCGAATGCCTCACATGTCTCATCAAATGCGGAAATTTGCTGTTGGCATTGACGGCAACGTTACTGATGCCTAAATATTCTCACGTGATGGCGTCAGCGCATGACATCATCACTACGTCACATATACAGATCACAAACTTTATGACGTTATCGTGATGTCACGTGATGACGTCATCACAACACAATCGCTTGGTCGAAGGATAGAGCGATCCCGGAGGCCGTGCAAGAACAGGCGAGGCGCAGAAAGCTTGCAATGCTTTTGATCTTCGAGCCCGTGCAAAATCACATTAGGTGTTAAAAAATTACAGAAAGTTGGGAGGATCACAACATCGACTGAGTAGAAGGCTTTTGTCTTTGAACCATTTTAAGGCGAAGGCATATGTGGCCCTGTAAGCTTTTTCCGAAGGCTTTGCTGCGGAGTTAGTAAGGGCTGCCTTGAGCAATTTTCAATACACGAAAAGATACTCTGTGGTCTTCGGTTGATCAAAGCTTCAAAGCAGAGGGGCACGGTGGGAACTCGCTGACTTTGATCAATCGACAATCCGGACCCCTATTACGAAACGCTATATTCAATTTGATACATCATATTTACCACCCGATGTGTCTGCCTGAAACTTTTTCACACGTACAGGTGCCCACAAATTACTGCGGAATTCCGGACCGGTGGCCACTCGTCGACAGAACGCGCCGGTGAGAAATTAAAGTACCAAGGTCAGCGCATGCACGGTATTCTTTGCAAGGGCCCTGCAGGATGTCAAATTAGGCGTTGCCTTGATCCAAATAAAAACAATGAAGTTCCGTGCCTTTTCGTAAAGTGGCTGTGCGGGTGTGGCCTGTTAAACGCTCTGTGCGCGCAGTGAATTATATGAACACGTACGTACGAGTTAATTGGCATTGGCACCTTTGCAAGCGATAGGCTCACTGGTTCATTAGTAGCGGAATGTGACCACTCGGTCACCCATCCTGGATAGCACTTGAGCGGTAGCGAAGATCAAGAACGGCATATTGCATCTTACAGGTAAGCAAAGCATGTTACAGGTCATAATTCAAAGCATCAAATAACTAAGAGTAATTCAAGAGTCATGGGGAATATCCAAAGTAATTAGGATAATTAATGCTACCGAGACGCGAAAATTGCATGAAACTCTTATTAAGGCATGCTAAAGGGTATATTAGCTAAAACATTGGGAGAACTTTAAGCTTCTTGAACGCGTTAGCGATACAGTGTCCCCAGTACGTACTTCACTTAGGGCATACTTTTTGTTGTATGTTTTTACTCTAGGAGTTCAAATTGTGGATTACTACAATGCAGTCGATAAATCCAAAAGTATTTTGTGTCAATGGCGCTTTCGCACTGACTGCACTTTGCGTAATGGGTAGCATGCTTTAAAACTACGAGCTATTATGCGCGTGAAATGATTTCGAACTTGCTATGTACTCGCCACGTGGTCTTTAAGGAACGCATGTGCCTTTCGTATAAAGGTGGCCGTCTTTAAACCACAAGTCGTTTTGGTAATCACATGTTCCGACGCCCAATCGCTCGTACCATGCAACGTTCCCGATATGACATTTGTTGTATTGCGAAGCCTGTATACAGTACGCGTATGTTTGAGAAGTATATTTTTTAGGGGCGATGCTCCTTAAAGCGTGGGTCTGTACATCCTCCAATGTTGATTGATATGTGGGGTTTAACGTCCCAAAACCACTATATGATTATGAGAGACGCCGTAGTGGAGGGCTCCGGAAATTTCAACCACCTGGGGTTCTTTAACGTGCACCCAAATCTTAGCACACAGGCCTACAACATTTCCGCCTCCATCTGAAATGCAGCCGCCGCAGCCGGGATTCGAACCCGCGACCTGCGGGTCAGCAGCCGAGTGCCTTAGCCACTAGACCACCGTGGCGGGGCATCCTCCAATGTTGTCGTGCCACGGGGGATGGCGAGATGGCGATACTCGGAGTGTTCATTAGATGGATGCATGGACGGACGCATGGGCGGAGGGATAGACAGTCTAGCATACGGATGGATGGACGGACGCGCGGAGCGGGTATGTGCCACAGGGGACGCGAGATGGCGGTACTTGGAGTGTTCACAAGATGGACGCACGGACGTACGGACAGACAGACTAGAAGACGTATGGACGGACGCACGGGCATACGGACGGATGGACAGACTCACAAATGGATGCAAGGACAGATGGACGGACGCATGGATGGCCGCACGGATGGTCGCACGGACAGACGGAAGCAATAACGAAACGACGAACTGACGGACGCTTCGCCACACTCCTCATCATTCACTCCGTGGATATTCTGTGATTTTTTGTTTCACTGCATTTTCAACCACGAGAAACTATTTTCACTGTATTTCCAAGCGGAAGTTGCTTGTCATCCAAACAGTCGAGGTTCGATCATCACTCGGACCTGAAGACTTTTATCTTTTTATTTTGTTTTCGTATTTCTCCATTATTCGGTCATGGACAAGATGATGATTTTTGCTGACAAACAACGACGCCCACGGCCACACCGACGCCATAATTTCTGAAACACGAGCTTTTTAACGCTGTCTCGTTGAACATGAGAGACGGCGCTTGGCAGTTGAACGTGCAACCACGGCTCATAATCCCGACTGCCTTGCTCATCTATTCAGAAAAAAAATGGTTTTCACCGTCAGATCATAGGTGAATGCGCAACTTCAATCTTCGAGTTTCAAACTTCAATTTTTCGATGTCTCGAAGCTTCATTCAATTTGGAAGAAATATATTTTCTGGAGAATTCCAACCAGCAAGGTGCTTCGACATAACACTGAATTTTTCTGACTTTTTCCTATGGTTCCTAGTGCTTTGAAAATAAATGTTGTGACATAGACCAAAGAGGCTCATACGAACGTTCAGGCATGAAAACCCTGCACTCAATTTTAGCTCAAGGCTCAATGAAAGTTGAGACGAACTTCAAGACACTGTCTTCTGTCATTGCAATATTCACTCTGCTTCCGGCAGCCGAGCTGAGCGGATCATAAGACCATGTTCATAGCGGCCAGTATAGGTCGCGGAAACAGGGGCACGGACGATAAAGAATATCAGCTTCATTCGCCTCCGCTGCCGAAAGGAAAGCTTGTTAATAACACCGTGTTTTTACACGGGGATGTCAGAGCCAAGCCTCACAAAGCCGAAAATTTTCGGGACGCGTTGACGCCGACGGTCCTGCTGCTTGATGTAGTAAGCCTCGGCGCGTCTCAGATAAACCACTTGTGGGCGGTGACCTTCAACGACGCGGCACCTTCGAAACGCCTTCTCACCATGAAGGCGCTCCAGGCGAAGGGGCGGTGCTGCGTCATCGTCGACCCGCTGGACCAGCAGGTGGAGCTCAAGCTGCGATGGCTGCTGTGAGTGAGGAGGGTGTGCAGGCTTCACTGGCAGCATTTGGCAAGATGGTGAAAGCCAGCCGTGAGTGGGGGCACGTTCCGGGCATCGCAGAAAAGTGCTCGATCACCAGGACAGTCTTGCTATAATTGAGGAACGGCCTTGAGGTCGAAGACCTCCCACACCAGATCTGCGTGAACGGGGAGCTGCCCTCGACGAGAACTACTGCAACGGCTCCCGGCCACGACACCCTGCTTAACGAGAGCTGTGTCACGGCGGATGACAACCAGCCCGCTAATTGAGCGTGGCGAGTAGCGGTCCTTTTGTTGTTCTGATAGCACGAGCGTGAGACCTGTGACCTAGCCGCCTTCTCACATCAAGAAAGGGACACGTTGGCACCATAGGTAAAGTGCGGTGGCCATGCCTATGTCAAAAACGTTGAGCTGGGCGGCCTACTAGTTTTACTATATGTTCGTCATGTAACAAAATGCTAGTCCTGTTCTATTCTAAATAAACGGCGAGTTTTCTTCAGTACCTTCAAGCTGCCTCGACAACATCTTTGCGAATCTCCTGTGCCAGAACGACCAGACACAACACTTCAACAACCTCTAGAACTGCTGATATATCTACATAGTTGAATGCATGCCATTTTGTAATATGTCATATATCGGATTTTTTTTATTTGGCAGTTTTATCAATTATTCGATTACTCGCATGACGATGATCTATGGTAAAACACAATGTAAAATTTTGATTATTCTTCTCAATATCTCGTACTTCATGCTGAAAGGAGGTTGATAGGTCCGTATAGTGTGTGCATGAATGGTGCAATAGATCATGTCGTGCGTTTGTGAAGTTATCGGTCCAACACGAAGGATGAGAGGAAGGTTGTTACGTCACTGGCATGACGATAAACGAGATGATATTTAGCGAAATATACTTTATAAGAAACCAACCAAAAGCACAAATACAGCAATGGAACCCCATAGGACAAGTGTTGGACTAACATTTATTGAAGAAAGCCCTCAGACGCATGAACCATCAGCGCATGCGTAAATAGGCTATCTGAGCCTAGTAACGTTGCAAATTTAACATTACAATGCCAAGAATCAATCGTGTGAAGGTGTTGCAAATAGCGCACTTCCCCAAAACGCCATAATATTAACGCCATGTGCCCTCGTTGACTAAGCACTGAGGGATCACATATGTCACTTTGCCTTTTTTATCATATCGAAAAGCTTCGCAATTTTCATGTTTACTCTTATTTCTCAATTCCTTTTTTTATGATGCCCTGATTTGAAATCAGTGGTGCAGCTACAGCCTTGCAGCGCAGACGTATGTAAGTTTCGAAATGTCCTTGTCGTGCATGGGGCCATGTCTACAAATGTCAGGGGCCGATCAGCTTCAATGACAGGCTGCGTGAATTACGCATTCTACTCCCTACAGGTATACTGGTGGAAACTCACCTCTGCACAGCAAAGGCTCTGCGTGCCTGATTTCAAATCAATAAGTTTCACTGGCAAAGGAATAAAAAAGTAAGCTTGAGCGTAATGTTTTTCAAAACTTGTAATATAAAACGAAACATGGCAAAGCGTCATGCGTACATCATCCATCAGTCTTCTTTACAGATAAAGAGTTTGCGTTGCCACATTGTGACTTCACGGTGGCGTCGATATTTTAGTGTTTCATGAAAATGCGCAGTCTGTAACATCTTACCACCTGTGCACTGCTAAGTGTGCAACTGGGAGATGACTCAGATAGCCCCCTTTTGCACGTGTTGCTGGGTTTCGTGTGAATTGGCTTTCTGCAATAAACATTGCGTTTGAAGTCCTGCGCCTCTACTGTGTGGTTGTCCTCCTGCCTTCGCGTCTTTCGTTGGCTTACTCTTCCGAATGTTATGAAGCAACTCGCACATCAAGCTGCGTTAGTGATGTCCTGTTTCAAACACCGTTGTGACAAATCAGCATCAAGGTCTGGAACTAAGTCGGAGATAGAGAACGGGCGAAGTAAGGCGCAAATTACTCGGTTTGGTTGTCTGGCGAGTGCATTACAAAGCTTGGGAAACGCAAAACATCACACTTCCACACTTCAGTGCTTTCTCCGCATGCATTCATGTTCCGTGCAGTACTTCACACGAAGTTTTAGGGTGATCCTAATATTGCCCAACTTTCGACCTTGCTGAACCTGCCAACTGGATCGTTTGTTTGATAGAACATATTTCATCTGTGCTGCAATTCCTTAACTGACTGTTTTCTAAATACGTATGCCGCAAACAGCTGCCTCTTGCTCGTTTAGACTGCTGAGCAATATAATCAATTACTTCCATACGCATAGAAGCGCTTCTACATTAACTAGCACCGATCTTTCCCTTTGAACTGTAACTGTTCATTCACTCGCTTTCACAGTCGTGTTGATTGGTATTCCAATACCCACTTTCCACACCTTTTATTCGTACATATTATGTGAAAGGGTATCGTCAGCCAGAATATGTTGAAATACAGTCCCCGCCAAACACCACCTTTGGCTGTGTCACCAACCTAGCTGCTGTAATCGCTTGATTACAGTGAGCTTGAAAGTAGCTTAAAACTAGCGTTTATTTTGAGTCCAACGCAACCTTTCTACGTTACTACTGAACAAGTGTTTTTTTTTTTTTCTGATCCAGTTATTTAACTGTAACCGGTAGGCGAATCTATTACGATGCGTTTAATTGCTAGAAGGTAAAATTAAGAATGCACCGACGATTTACCGGTGATGTAATAAACTGCCAAAGAAAGGCAGATTTACTAAAAAAATAATTTCAGTCTACATAAACTGCGCGCCGAGAAAACACATCGGCGGCGGCCATAAAGTTAACTCTATTGCGGCGGCGCGCCGCTGACTCGGCGCACAGCTCTACTACCTCTACAACGTGGTGCATAGCGATAGTTATAGCGCGAGAACAAAACGACGACACAGAGACAAGAAGGACACGAAAGACACGAGCGCTCGTGTCTTTCGTGTCCTTCTTGTCTCTGTGTCGTCGTTTTGTTCTCGCGCTATAACTATCGTCATGCCATACCAACTAGCCCAAGCTGCCACACTTCTAAGTGGTGCATAGAGTTATGATCCCTAATCATGGAGGAAGTCCATATTCCTAATAGAGTTGATTAACTCTGTGCTTCCATGGTTATAGATTTTCCGGTCCAGTATTTACACGCATAGGGTACAAGCGCTGCTGAAGGAGCCACATATATTAGCTATTTGAAAGGAGCCCGCGTGGAGAATAGCGCCAGGTTCCCCTCTAAATATTATTGTATGAAGAGAGAGAGAGAGAGAGAGATTTGGTATGAAGAAAGGCAGTGAAGTTAACCAGAAAGCAAGTGTCTGGTTTGCTACCCTGCACTGGGGAAGGGGAAACGAGAGACAGAAAAGTAAGGAGAAGGGAGTGAGAGAAAAAGAGTGGGACGGAAGCGAAAACACACAAACACGCTGAAACGTCACAAACGTTCGACGAGGCAGGTCGATCGTAGAAACTTCAGGAGGGCCTTCGTCGCTTTTTGCCGTGAAGCTCGATCTTTCCGGTATTCCAAAATTATTTTTTCGGACAGCGGCTGGTCGTTGATGCGTGCGAACACTGCTGACAGGGACTGTTTTTGACAGTTGTACTGATAGCGCTGACACAAAATATGTTCGATGGTTTCGTCAGCACCGCAATGATCACATACAGCACTGTCTGCCCATCCATCCGATAAGCGCCTCCTCTAAAATAGAGGAGGCGCTGATCCGATTATAGTGCATATTATAGTACACTGTACTATGAGTCAGGGATGGACCCATGGAAAGCCAAAATATCATTTAGCCACTGTAGCCAAAACGAGCCAAGCCAATACAGACATTGTGAAATGGCGGCGACCATGCCATCGGCAGACCCGCAAGCCGAACAAATCAAGCAGTTCAAAGACTTTCTCGTCTCGTACAACAAGCTGTCGGAGCTGTGCTTCGCCGACTGCGTGCACGACTTCACGGTGAGGCACGTGAGGGATAAGGAGGAGAAGTGCGCCATGAACTGCATGGAGAAATACATGAAGATGAACCAGCGCATATCGCAGCGCTTCCAGGAGTTCCAAATCCAAACCAACGAAGCGGCGTTAGCGGCGCAAAAAGGGGATGCACTAGCCGTCGCTGCGACTCGGAGAGATGACTGCGACGAGAGAGCGGCATTCCTCACCTTGGGCCACGTCCACCTGCGTCGACCTGTGGACGTGCTGCTTTGCTACTGTTACAAAACACGTGTGTGGGTGTGCTTCGTGACAAGGTGCGCATGGAACGTCTGACAAGTTTCCGTATTTCACGGTCCTCTAGCATCGCTTTTAATTTCAAAGCGTAGTTTACTCCATGGATTAGTTTGTAATAAACCGTTATGCACTGTTTGCGAAGACTTAGTCTTTTGTTGCCCGATGTTAACGAGTATCTGGCGAAGTTGACATTAGTGCTTATAATTAGCCCTTACCATCCCGAATATTCCGAGTTCTTGAAAACTGCTGCGCACGGTAGACAACCTCCTTTGTAATCCTAAAACGTTTCACAAATGTACCCAATAGCGAAACTTGAAAAACTTTTCCAGACCACAGTTTGGTCATAGCTTAAGCACAACTGCGATATTTGTGCTTTTGTTTCAGCTAGCTGTCTAGATTTGGTTAAAATATGCTCTTCAATTTGGTTGATGCATTGCGAGTATAAGCATTGTCAAGAATTAGTATGTTACTACAACACCCCTGCAACTGCAACCATAATTAAATGATATAGTTGCTTATAGCTTACAATATACCCTCACAAACGAATTTACAGGTTTTAAAGCAATCTAAATGGTGTCACCAGTACTGCAATGATTGGTCAACTCCACTGCCAACAGTCAAAGCAATTATAGCATGAAGTTATTTGAACCAAGAGAATATATCTTTGCCATGAACATTCTTTTTGAAAACGCCACTGATTTTTGGATACCTACATTCTGACCATTCATCCCGTACAGATGAGCCATAAGATGTCAGGGAGGTGGTGTATACCATCCGAAGGAAGCGATCAGGGAGATTGGCTTATTGTGCTCTAAGTCCAAGACGGATGCCTTCTGGAGAAAAAACTCAGTATCCAACCTAGAAGGGGCAACCATGTTACTATGGGCCACCATTCATCCTCTACTAGATGAGATGCAGGATGTTAAGGTGGTGTACAGAGGCAAGAGGTGATTAAGTCCCGGACAAATAGCCACAATAAGAATGAGACTGCGTCACAGAAGGGGTAGCCATTGCGACGATGGGCATCGGGAAAATTTTACTTATGTACCCAAAGATACATAGTTGTCTACATGCACCGATGCTTTCAATTCCAATGCAGTACATGCGAGTGTATCAACAAAGTACAGGCCAAAGATACATAATTGGTGAAGTATGAAACCTGCTGGGGCTCACCTGTACAGCCTGTACACAATGTAATACGAACCACACCAGCTTGTGCCGAAATTGCCGTGTGCTGTTCAGAGCATCGCCCGGGCAAATGCATGACCAGAGCTGCGCTTTTGAAAGCATACTACTCACCACAAGAGGGCAATTTCGGCACAAACTGCATTGTTTGTTTTTGTCTGTATTATTTTGTAGCCAGCTTATTTTTTTTGCTGTATTATTTTGTGGACACGCAGCATTCATTTCAAGGCACGACACATGTGCTAACCAGACTGCATTTGCCACTCTAAAGATCCACCCGAGCCACAGAAACAGCGATAAATAGTGGATGCTGCTGTGGCACGCACATGGAATGGACCTTACAGAAGGTCAGTGCCACACAATATACTTACACATTGATGAACAATGAACTTCACATACATACATCATATCTGGTGTTTTCTAGTGTTTTACGTCCAAAAGCCACGATACGATTATGAGGGGCAGCGCAGAGAAGAGCTCTGGAAATTTCGTACCAATTGGTATTCTCTCGGCGAACCGACGGCTCGCAATACATGGGTCTCTAGGGTTTCACCTCCATCAAAATACGGCTGCCACGATCTTTGATCGATTCTGCGACCTTCGCGTCAGCAAGTGAGCGCTGCAACCGCTACAACACCAGGACTGATATACTTCACGTGCAGGCACTGAGTGAAATTCAGCAGATGCCTGGTCTCAATCTCGCCAACCGATTACGGTAACAGATTTCCATCTTGCATGTTACTGTCCTTTTATAAAAGTACAGTACACTTCAGTAAACGAAATGTGTTAAACGGAACTGCTGCTTAATGGGAACAACTGCCTCCGATAGGATTGACGGTACTCCAGGTAACCAGAACATACTTTACCGATCCTTTCAAGCTCCGTTTCAGAGCCTACTGTACTATATACACAAAACTTGCTTTCATCGCTTTGTCGGATAGCTTTAGACTCTGCATTTGTGCTGCTGAGCCCTGGGTTTTCTGGCAGAGCAACATATATTTTACATTGGCATTCAACAAAGCCAACCGAAACCAAACAAGAGTGTGGAAATATAAAGAGCGCACAAGGTAGAAGGAAAAGCACTTGACAGGAAAGTTGCTCTTGTTCCACATTATGTTGTACCAACTGGCCCAGAATTCCACCTTATCAAACAAAGAGGCAGCATAACTTCCAAAATTAAAAAAAAAATGCCAGGCCTGTGCCGTAGGCGCAGTACAGTCACAGCAAAAGCTAGAAGAGCGGCCTCTCAGAGCATTTTCTAAACACTCATTGGGTAACTGCTGCAAGCCCACTTGCTGGGTACCCACTGTGGCATTAATAATAACTTCAGAGTAGTAGACCAGCATTTGCTATGCTATTTTTCATAATTCTTCTGAAAAGTGCTGTATCCTTTAAACATTTGCAAGGAATTTTGCACCAATTGTCCATGCAGTAGCTGACGACGAGAAATTATGCCTGAAGTGGGTATGCGCCACAGTTAATAGGTGATCAAGAACAAGCTTTTGTAATGGGTTGGAGCATTGGATGACACACTCCTTACGCTGTTCACATTGTGTGACGCCTTGCCCTTCTAAAACACTTTACTACTCATAGTGACGCCATTCTTTTCCCGACATCAAGCCTGCCTAAGGCAAGTTTGCGAACAAGTTTCAAGCACCGGCATGGCTCAGTGGTAGAATACTGGGCTGGCAGGCAGCTGACCCGGGTTCGAGCCCCACTGCGTCCTTGGTACTAAGTTTTTTAAAGGCAAAGTTCCTTAAGGCGTGGGTCTGTACATCCTCCGATGTATGTAGTAGTAGTAGTAGGTAGCCACCGGTGGCACAAACCCGCTCTAGAGCGGGTATCTGCCACAGGGGATGCGAGATGGGAGATAGCAGTACTTGGAGTGTTCACTGGATGGATGCACAGACAGACGGACGAACACGCGGATGGACGCACGGGCGGGCTGCTTCGCCCCACTCATCATCACTCACTCCGTGGATACGCTGCGATTTTTTCTATTTCGCGATAGTGGTTAAGAACACCGGCTGTGGTGGCGGACAACTACGGCACCGTGTGTGACCATTGATATCTACTGTGGCAGTAGGGAAATCGAAGCACCAGGTACTATTGGCACTTACAGTACTCATCAGACAAACCATGATGGAAGAGAAGAGAACCACACGAGACAGGCAATAAACTTCAACTGGCTTTTTTTAATGCGAATTATTTTTTAGTCGGGCTATGTCAGGCATACGGCGTTGTCCGCGCGGCGGCAGGTGTTATCTCTCCGCTCTCACTCCCTCTCCCATAGCAACAGTTGTGGGCACCTGCACTTATCTTCTCCCCAAGCAACCGGAGCATGTGGTGTGAAAAGAGTGTAGGAGAAGGTAGGTGCAGTGCCTCGCCACTCACCTCGCTCTTCATCCTCTCTCCTCTCGGCGCCCCACTTTCCCATCTGCTCGTGCCTCATTCTCGACCGTTCACTGGCTGGGCACCTCTCAAGAACATCCGGAAATGTGTGCTCAGGGCGCCATTCGGAAACGCCGAACCGAGAACCGAACAGAGTATTTTTTAACCATGCACGCTAGCTACTAGAGCTGGAAACGCATACAGTGTTTCTCGCAAAAGAAAAACACGACATGCGGCAAACGGCTCTATTGGCTGCACGGTGTAAAAACAATAACAACATTCTTCTAATGCTGGGTTCTCGCGGGAGAAACACCATTATGGACGCAATGCATTCGCATTTTCTCAAGATTCCCTTCGGGGAGGTGGGGGCACTTTAAAAAAAAATGACACACAAAGCAACCACGGCAACACAACCTGATAAAACGTGACACAAGTAGTAGTTCAGTGCCTGTCCAGTGGGGTTTCCTTCCATCTATGTTTTTTTGCGACGTTCCCAATGAATCCCCTCCAACTATCGCAATCAGCAGTCTTGTTAAGAATCTGATCTCTTAATATAGCAGGGAGACAGGAATATTCGTCCCTACGTCAGCAAGCATCATGACCTTGAGCACTTGTTTCTGTTCGAACGCATAGATAGAGCACGCACGAGCAGATACGTGGCGGCAGCCCAGCCCATGGTAGCCACTATGCAGCACATCAGCCAACCGCCATGGACGTGGTTATACGGTGAAGGAACTTGGGTGTATCGCACAATTTGTAGAGTAAACGGAAGAACTGATTGTAAACTCCACGCCACGTGCTGCCCTATAATCTCTGGCTCACGTCTTCCCATCAACCTCAACTACAGATTTGCAGCGTTTTCTGATCGTGCTCAAAAAGTGTTGCAGGGCCACTTTAAAGGCCAACTTCAGCGGCGATTTTTCGAGGTCAATGAATCTTCACGAAATTCGCTGGGTATGTTCCTTTGCATATTTTCGTCTTTTATGCCTAAATCACAGGTTCGAGTGATGCACTGATCGTTTGCAAATAAATTTTGAAGATTGCCTCAAAAAGCTCACCTCACTTGCCAGAATTATTGGCAACACTGTCTGTGTGACGTCATGTTTGGCATGTTAACGAAAGTGACGCAGCCGATGGCATCGCTACTTTCGGCGCTACAGTGTTTATTGTGCTTTCCACAAGACGATGGCGGCGGTGTTTGGCACGAGTATAGTATAGGAATTCTTTCTTCCTTCCTCTGTGGTGTTTGGCTGGTGCTTCGCTGGACTGGCTTTCACAGTTTTCATGCTTCGCGCCGGCAGAACCAGTATACTGCCTCCGGCTCTACCAAATAGTACGTCTCACGCAGACAGGGTTTCAATTTCGGTATTGCACACTTTTGCTTATCAAAAATTATTTTCGAATTTCCTGAGCATTTCAGCTATTGGGCTTGTGACAAGAGTGTCTCTGGAACATAGAAACACCATAACCTTGACATGGTCAAAAAATCGCCGGAGTTGGCCTTTAAGTTGGCACAGAGGGAAAAGGCATACGCACACACAATGCTAAGAAAAGCCGTAGCTGTCATGACGAAGACAAGTCCACCTGTTGAAAAGTTAGCTCTCGAGATGTTCTGTATTTAAGCAACTTTTTTTCATTGATTCCCATAAACGTTTGTCTTGTTCGATTACCAAATAGAATACACTCGGACTTCAATATAACAAACCCAGATATAGCAAAATATCACTTATGACGAAGTAAATGAAAAACAGCCTTGCAATACAGTGTTAGAGACATACATTTATAACGAATTTTCGGATATATCAAACTTATTTTCGTGTAAGATATACCTTGTGATAATGAGCTTTGAGTGTACATCTCGCAAAACTGTTAAACTCACCAAAGAAACAAACTTCTTAGTACAGAGTGATCAGGCTATTTACCGCAATATACATTGCTCAACACAGCGTTTACATCCATAGCCAGTGCTTAATTATTAAAAACCTGTTTTTTTTTCTCCATACAGACGTGACTAAGCCATCCTGAAACTACTGGTATGCCAGTTTTCAAACTCGGCTCATAAATGTGGGCCTTTGAACACTAACGAGCCAGACCTACAAGTCTAAACCGTCATCCGGCAACGCTTCACCCAACGAGACTCAAATCCACAGCCTTGTGCCGAGCGAAAGAGCGACACACAGATGCCGAGGTAACGGCGATGTGTTTAGTGTGATTGCACAGATGTCACCACCGTGCTAAAGGCACATTAATCTAGGCACGTCAATTTATTTTGTAATACTCTGTAGCAACAACCAGATGCTGATGTCCAACCTCTAAAAGCCTTTAATGTTGTCAGTAGAGCGAACTTGGGCATGTTGGTATAGCATAGTGAGACATTCAGCGCAAATACGGACGAGCACGCAGGAAGGAAATGCGTCAGCGCTCTGTGTGTTGTTTACTCGAAGTGCCCTTGTCTTTATTTGCGTTGTGTGCTTCACTATTCAGTGTTGTGCCTGCGTCAATCATTTAATAAAAAAATATGACAATGTAAAGTAACAATTGTTTTTTTCCCTAAAAAAGTTACTGGCCTATATCATGAGGCGAGTATGACAGCGTGTTGGCCACCTCCGGAAACGACCAGCGCTTTTTTGCCAGCGAACTTCCCCGCTACCGCCTTGGGTTCGAAGAGGTCATCGTCACCGCCGTGGCCGAGCTGGCCGTTTGTGCCAAAGCCCCAGGAGTGCAAGCTGTCCTGCAAATTGAAGCGCGAAAATTATGTACGGCCAACGTACCATTTCGCGGGCCAGAAAAATAGAGAAATTGCGAAAATCCAGGCAGCCCCTGCCCCCCTTCCACGCCAGAGAAAGAGACAAATACTTTTGCTACTTCACGCAAACAGTTAAATCCCCTCAGCCAGGTCTAAAATAACTTAGAAGGCCTGCCAGAACACTAACAGGTGTTATGGCACTTGTACAGCAACATCACGACGCCTTTCTTTTGGTGAGCGCACACTACACTCAAACATTATTACTATAACAAAGTTGCATCTCACACGAAAATAAATTCATTATGTCCCAAAACTCATCATTAAAGTATATATTGCAAGACAATTTTTCATTAACTTTGTTATAACCGATATTTCGTTACATCGGATTCGTCATAACAAGATTTGAGTGCAATACCAGCAAAGAGCAGAATCCCTTGTGGCTCTTTCACACGATTATGGCACACCACAGGGTTGCTTCCGACTGCCACTAGTCATCGTCATCACTTCTCGGCCTGTCTCAGTCCATCGCAAGGCGGAGGCCTCTACAAATGATATTTAGTTTAACCTATCCTGTTCGATCCGATATGAATGTATCTCGCCGAACTTCTCGATTTTGTCGCTCCCCCCAACTTTCTGCTTTCCTCAACCGCTTTTCTTATCCTGTGGCAGCCAACATGTTGCTTTTACTGGCTACCTGTTGTCTATTCTATACATTAAAAAACAGGTACAGGTCCGTTCATTTTGCTTGATTGTCAATTAGGATATCTGCAACCGCTATTTGTTCTCTGACCCATTCGGCAGTCCTTCAATCTCTTCATGATACTCTTCTTAATTACATAATTTACTGATTATACCACACAAACTAGGCAGTGCATAAACATAAAAATGAAAAAGAAACATCTCCTGTTAATTCCCAGCCACATTTTGAGACTTGTTCCTGTAATATAAATGCCAAAAGAGAGGGAGTACTACAAGCATAAAATTACACCTCTATTATAACAAACACAGGTATAAAGAAATATCAGTAATAACAAAGTACACTATACTCTCAGTAAACGGAAATCTGGTAAATGGAACAAGACTGGTTTTGTTCTCGTATTCCGCACCCATGGTCATCTATCTCTCCGTAATCAAAACTCCTGTTAAGCGGAACATATTTTCCTGCTCTCTTCAGGTTTTATTTATTGAGTGTATACTGTAAATGAAAAATAGTTTTGCAAAAAACAGTGTCAGGAGAAATCCTTTATAACAAATTTTTGGAAATAACGAACTCATTTTGTTGTACGCTACTACTTTGTTATAATGAGGTTTGAATGCATTCGTACGAGATGAAACATGAAAGGGTTTCGTTTGACTAGGTTGCCAAGAAGAATCTGCCATCCTACACCGTGACCTTACATGGTTGCTGCGCAGCATATACCGATTGCAACCGCGGCAATGCTAACTAGGCGTGCGCTTTTGCCAACCTAGCCAAATAAAGACTAGGCTTGTGCGAATATTGAAGCGCTTTAGATGTTCGAACGAACACTACAGTATTCGATTTCGCTTCAATTGGAATTGAAGTTATTGTGTTTCGAAGCATTCGAAATCAACTAATACAGTCGAGCTCGCTTATAACGAACCTGAGCGTGATGTGGCATAAGTTCGCTGTATCCCCAAGTTCGTAGTAAATGAAACACAGCTTTTAAAAAAAGTTGCGAGTGAAAACAAACCTTTTTTGACCCAAAAAGTCGTGATGTACGGGTTTAGAAGAACAGAAGCGATATAGGCAGTCTCGAGTTCATTGAAAACGGCAGAATGCTCGTTCGCCGAGGCCCGTGGCATAAGCTGCATGAGGCACTGGCTCCAAAGTTTCATCGTTATCGCAATCCGATTTCTCCAAATCGCTCTCGCCACGTACTTAATTCACTATGCCCTAATCCGAGCACGGTTCCGCAGTGTCGACATCATCATCCAGCCGTAATTAAACCAGCGCAATAGATGTCCCACCCGCTCTCCCAGGTCGGAAGTTGACGACCCGCTGCCACAAATCACCGCCGCAGTGGACCTGTTTGGAAGCTTCACGCTCGGCATCGGGCCCGACAATGACGAAGTCGGCCTCACAGAAACAGTTTCGCGCAGCATGTAGCCTGTCACCAGCCGCCCATGAAATATTCACCACCTCCACAGCTGAATACCGGGACGCCCAAAGCGGCAAGTTGGCTGCGCTTTGTCAACAGTTATGAGCAAGCGCTCCGCAACGCGGCACCTAACGCGCGAATTACGCTCAAGCCAAGCAGTCACCCTTTCGACGTTTTGTTGAGCGGCACGAAAAAAGCGTGCTAGTCCTCCCATCGGCCATCATGACTACACAAGCACAACAAGAGTGAGCAAGATACGCACACGTGACACACATGACAGAATGCGTGGAACAGCTCTGGGCCTGTTTCCAGTCAGAAAACGAAACTAACTCGCAGAACGGTAGAGACGGGCAAAGGGGTTGCGACGGGCAAAGGGGAGAAAAACTAATTCGCAGAGCGGTAGAGACGGGCAAAGGGGTTGTGATCAAGAGAGGGGAGCAGACTTGCGAGAGAGTTGCGATAAAGAGAGGGGAGGATGTGGCGGGAGGGCGACCTTAAAAATCAAACCACATGGGAAGGAGGCAGGTTGGGTAACTTGCTTGACAGGTCCGCGAAACATGCATGTAGAAAAACTTGTAAAGAGTGCATGGCCGCCTGAATCGGTGCGCGCGGTGGTGTTCGAGGAATCGGCGGCCGTGGTCAAAAAATCGTTTCGTTGCGTGGCCACACTAGCTTCAATATTTCGCGATTCGTTCCGCGCAAATTAACAGCCGTTTTCACGCTTCCGCACGCGTCGAAGGCATGCTGAGTTGAGTTTGAAGTGAGCCCTAAACACGAAACGAATCGCAAGTTCTCAGAGTCGGTGGGGTAGCGTACGCGCGTGCACTAGACGCAGACTATCGGATACAATCGGTGGCCGACGATGTGGGCAAATGGTCTGGTCACTCTAGGCCGGTGACGCCATCGACACTACCAGCGATCAGAAACGGTAGATGGCCGACCAGTCTTTGAAAGATCGGTGGCAGTGTGAAAACACGGGCCTCGTCTGGCGATGCAGGGTGTTCAGAGTAGCGGGGAGACAAAGGACGGAGGGGTGGGTAACATAAAGCAGTCGGGGAGAGCGGCAACTAGAGGGGCGCGGCAACTAGAGGGGCGCGGAGGCAGGGTCGGCGTTTAACAATAAGAATGTATGGGTACCTCGCCAATGCCTGATCGGTGATCTAAATCGGTTTCCCGGGAAGTCAGCAGACCGCCGGCTCCGTTCACTGTAACCAATCAGTGGCGTTCGTAGACGTTCGTTGTAAGTGCGATTTTGTGCCATTGAACCAATGTATATTTTCATGGTCACGCGGATATTGTTCGCTTTAAGTGGGGCCGTTATATGTGGGCTCGACTGTAACTGTATATTAGTCCCCATGTAACCTCTCTAAAGGTGGTTACACTGCAGTGGAGGAGTACTGCACCGTGAAAACACCTATCCAGGGGAAATCCTCACTGCCGCGAAGCCCCACTTTGAGATTAAACGGATATTTTACGCTCGCATCGATTCGTCATTTCTTCAAGTTTAAAAGTTGTTTGTAACAGCTTATATGCTCTAGGTATAGTAAATTTTAAAACAACTTATCTTACAGGTTATCACTTGCATTCTACCGAATGTCAGACCCTGCTATTATTCAGTTGCTTCCACTTCCTTTGTAGCACAAATAGTGCCAATGCCATGTTTAAACTTTCTAAAAAATATTGTGCGCGTTTATTGGGTCATGAAAACGATGCCCATATTATAATTTGTGATATATGCAACTTAAGTTCATTTCGAAATTATTCAACCAAATCGCCAATAGCTTCAAAACTACATTTTTTTTTTACTATTCACGCAGGCCTACAAAAAAAAAATACATTTGTGCCCAACAAGGTGCAACGTTGACCCACCTTCTCGATCAATGGCATACGAAACTGCCTCTCCACACGAGACGTCCACACAGTCGGAGAGGCCAGGCACTGGGGCGGGTTTGTCCTGGTCGTTGTTGCCGGCCGGGGTGGACTCCCCGAGGCCGAGCCGGCCGTACTCCTTGCGGCCCAGAGAGAAGACCGCCCCTTCCTCGCTGAGGAGCAGCGTGTGGTGCTGGCCACCACTCACGAGCTTCCACCTGCAGCAGCAGCAACACAATAGAGTGTCCTATGAATACACTAGAGGGAAATGTGGCGCTAGTGTCCACGGGAGCAGCAACGCGAGGCGCTTCAGCCGGCATGGGAACGATGGGTAGTACATAGATTTGTGGAATTCTCGCTCTTTCGGCTCTGGCTTCGCGTGGCCTGGAGCCGCTTTCTCAAGACAAGACAATCGGCAAGTGTTCAGCAGTTGCACTTCGCCTCCTCGACCTTTTAGACTCACCGATTCAAATCCCGTGACGAAGTTCACAACCGTGTGTTCTTTTACTCGAAACAGTTGTAAAACGAAGCCACGAGTGCATCCGAAGCCTACAAGCACGAAGACTAGGCAAGCTTGTGCACTACCCATCATTCCCATGGTGGCCGAACGATCGCAGGGCCAGAGTTTCTTCTAGTTATTTTTAGGAAACTCTGTGAGCAACAGGTCCGTAGCAAGTGGGAACCTTCAAAAGAGCGACAACATGTAAAGACGTGTTCACATGGAAAAAACATGTGACCTGCACTTCCCAGGTTCATGTCAACTCCGTCACTGCGAAATAATGCACGAACTGCAGACTCCCTAATTATGAAACAATAATATTTGTTGGAGTTTCAGGTCCTAAAACCACGATGTGATTAGAAAAGACGCCGTGGTGGAGGGCTCTAGAAATATTGACCACTTAGGGTTTCCTTAACGTGCACCTAAGTTTAAAAGAGACACTGAAGAGAAACGACAACTTGGTTTAGAATGACAAACTGCATTCTGAGAACTCTAATGCCATATGTTTCACTATCGTAAGTTCATTATTAGCGGAGAAAACAAAGGTTGATTGATTGATATGTGGGGTTTAACGTCCCAAAACCACCATATGATTATGAGAGACGCCGTAGTGGAGGGCTCCGGAAATTTCGACCACCTGTGGTTCTTTAACGTGCACCAAAATCTGAGCACACAAGCCTACAACATTTCCGCCTCCGTCGGAAATGCAGCCGCCGCAGCCGGGATTCGATCCCGCGACCTGCGGGTCAGCAGCCGAGTACCTTAGCCACTAGACCACCGCAGCGGGGCTATTCAGCAATGCAAAATAAAACTTATGTGTTCCTAAGTTGAAGTTTAGAAAAATAAATATAGTGAGACAGGGATAGTAGGCCTTCTCAGAAAAGAAAATTTATTAGTCAGGCAGTTCCTGTGCTTCTGTGATATATTTCGTGGAGTTGTGTGAATAGCAAAATTTTTGATGCGAAGCAAACTGAAATAATAGTGTGTGTGCAAACTGAACTGAATAGTTTTCTAATATTTCTGAATTTTTTTTAAATGCCTGGAAGCAATAATAAAAAAAAGAGTTGCAGAAGATCCCAAAGCATAGCCTCAATTACAACCTAAAAAAATTATACAGTAAAACCTCGGTAATTCGAAGTCACTGGGGCGGCGAGAAAGCTTCGAATTAAGGGGGTTTTCGAATTGACAGAACATACAAAAAGTGGAATGCAAGGAACTTATGACTATTCAAAGTAATCAGTGCTCGTCGTTTGCCGTGCCGGCTAGCTTGCAGCTCCAAAAGTTATGTTTCGCAGCAATACATGGTCGTTATTTTGCCGCGAACATGGAGGACCGGTGGGCGTTGCTGCTGCCACCGCAAAAAAAAAAAAAAAAACAGAAGAAGAAAACGCAGTCGTGATCGACTGAAATGTGCGCCTGCAGAAAACAAGACATCTTCACTGCAACACAGTAGTGACACGCGGGCAGCATGTCGCCTGGTCCTCGCTGCGTCAGCACGTCATGTTGCGACCATTCGCACATTCTTTCTATTATAATTATGAATGTAGTAATGGCCAGTATGACGAAGCTCACGATGAGTTTTGGATGGAAAAAATGATCTTTGAAACTTTCGAACTTAGTTTTTAAAGTAGGTGTTGCTGAAAAGAACTCCGCCAACAGTGCAAAGACGTGAATTGCTGGAGCAATCGGCAATCAGATTTTGGCATACATCGCAATTGCCGCTAAACTGTTCTTTATTAATTTCTTTACAAACCCATAAAGAATGGGTAAACCATGACCCGCTGACATTGCGAGAAACACGCAATAAGCTGCCTGCGTGTCACCACTGTGTTGCAGTGAAGCACGGCTCGTTTTCCGCGGGCGCACGTTTTGGTTGACCATGAGACCGTTTTTATTATTTTTTTGCGCAGGAAGTAGCGAGACTGGGGTGCTTCAGCTGCCACTCATTAGTATCGATACGTAGCATTGCCTTGTGACAATTAATGGCCATCGTTTCCACGGATTCACGGCGAAATCGAGATCTGGAACATGGCACCCAACGTTTTCGAATTAACCGGACTGATGCCCACCGTTGCTTCAAATTATTCGCTCGAACTTACATTGGAAAATACGGGACCGCAGAAATCCTTCGAATTAGACGGGATTTCGAATTAACGAGGTTTTACTGTAGCTCCGCATTGGCTCAACTGGGCACTGCCATTTCGGGCTCACCAGAAAGAGCATTTTTCCGTCTTGAAGTTTCCCACTTCAGCCAGCTCCCCCTTTCAAAAACAAGTTTACAAAAAAAAACCTTGTTTCAAGGCCTCCGATTGGCTTCGTCCACCATGTTGCTCCGGCCCGCCTCCTCATCTGTCTAATGCTCACTTTGAGAGAGCGTAGCGTGGTGCTTACGCACGCGTTGGGAGAGTTATTTCTGTCAGCAGTGCTCAGTGACACATTTGCACTTGTTCTGTGTTGACAGGTCAACGATCACTTAGAATATAATTAAACTTTAGTTTGACAGCTCGTCGCGAACATTGAAGACGCGCATCATGGACTTGTGGGCCTGCGGTTAAAGGTTCTGGATCAGCACTTCAGACATTCTCAACGAAGACCATTGCGGGACGACTGTACTCGCAATCGAGCATGGCGTACTTTGAAACATGAGGCACCAGAAGCCACACACAGCGCAACCAAGCTTATTGCTAGGCCTATTGCCGCACGTGGCTAGTGTGTATCTGCGCTCGATCATAAAGGCGTGATCCGTGAACTTATCTTCGTGCCGCGTTTTATCGGAAAACGCCCCTCGCGAATAAGCCGAGGGCACCGGTGTAGTAGTTCGCCAGCTGTACGGCGGTTCACTTGTTTCTTTCGGGCACAGGTCAGCCCAGTGAAATAAAAGATTGTTGCGGCTTGCTCCCGATCCTGTCGTGCACGTTCCTTCATCTTCGCGGCTACGTGACAACTGGTGGAGGTGCGGGGGGGGGGGTATGCACCAGGTCCCTGAGCCGACAGCTGCACGGAAGGACGAGGCGCCCAAAAGCAGCGACGCGACTCGCAGTAGCCGCCGCCTACAAGGGTTGCCACCGGAACCCGGAACACTACTGGAGTACACTCGACAGAAAAAAGAAGACTCGACGTCAACCATGAGCCTACCAGCTGCGCCCACCCGTCATCTTGCAACAGCCTCGAGTGCCTCCAACCTTCTACGGCTCGCCTGCAGAAGATGCACAAGATTGGCTCGACCAATTCACTCGGGTGGCTTCACTAAACAAATGGGATGACGAGATGAAGGTAAGTCACGTTTTCTTCGCACTCGACGGCCCCGCTAAAACGTGGTTTGAAAACCACGAGGCCTCTTTGACTACGTGGGAGGTGTTCAAGACTGATTTCTTGAGGACGTTTGCCAACATGCTGCGCAAAGAAAGGGCTGAAATTCTGCTACAATCGAGGATCCAAAAGCCTAACAAAACTGTGCCTATATACGTCGAGGAAATGAAGCTCCTCATCCACCGTGTGGATCCGAACATGGCAGAGGAAAAGCAGGTTGGGCTTCTAATGCGAGGAGTAAAAGAGTCCCTTTTCGCTGGCCTAGTTCGCAACCCACCGAAAACTGTTGCCGAGTTCACACAAGAGGCATCCACCATTGAGAAGACCTTAGATTCCCGAAACCGCCAGTACAACCGTACAGCGCACATAGCTTCCATGGACCCTCAAGCAACGTTTGCAAGTACCAGCAATTTGCGTGAAATAATACGCGAAGTCGTCCGCGAGGAGCTGCGGCTACTTATACCATCACCCTCGCAGCCTCCAGAAGCAACACTCACGGATGTCATACGCGACGAAGTTCGCAATGCTTTGGGCGTTTCTCGGACGGCGACTCCATGTCAAGAAAACCAGGAAATAAGTTACGCTGCCGCAGTACGCAGCCCAAGGGGTACCGCCAACATGCGCCCTGAGCATTACGAACCACCCCAGTGATCGCCGTCACCCGTCCACTCACCTATCTTTCTGGAAGCGCCGCGAAAAGCAGACCTCTGGAGAACCCCCGACCAACAACGCCCACTATGCTTTCACTGCGGTGAGCCAGGCCACATCCTCAGATACTGCCCTTACAAACGCATGGGACTTCGTGGTTTTGCCCTCAACGCACCACGACCGCGACCCGGACAGCGACCACGTGAAGTTGAAGACTACTTGCGCCGTGCCGAGTATCCGCCCACCCGTCCATCGCGATCACCATCACCGCCATACAGCCGCACACATCGCCAGGCCGTGGCAACGCGGCGGCAGCGCGATGAAGGTCCCCGAGCCCTCGTAGGGGAAACTGACTAAAACAGCCTTTGCGAGGCGAGGTTGCTTGCCGGCGAATAGACGAAGAACCTCCACTGATCATACCGCACGACGACGGCGCCCCGACGGAGACACCACGGCTGCTACGACGACACTTAGCACTAAGCTCGATGGCACGCCCCAACCGCACTTGCAGCACTCGCAGAAGCCGTGATTCGACACCAAGACTGACGTCCAACTCGAGATCTAGAATCTCTGACCTAAACGTACTTATAGACGGCCGTAGTGTAAGAGCACTTATCGACACAGGAGCCGACTTCTGTAATAAGCAGAGCCTTCGCAGAGCAACTAAAGAAGGTAATGACTAGATGGGATGGTACCGTGATCCGCACAGCCGGAGGCCATCTCGTGTTGCCAACGGGACGATGCACAGCACGAGTCACTGTC